TCCCCCCCCCCCCCCCCCCTCTATTGTTGATTTTATAACGTCGGTATCTCATTATTTGAGGAGCTTTCGCATTGCTTTTGAATCAGTTCCATGCATTTGGCATCAACTTAGCGAATTTTGGTAGGTTCCACCTAAAGAAAACTCCGACTTTAAACCTAACCAAATATCAATATCCGCGATATATAATCAACCTCACCCGCTGCTGGCACTCTGCAGTGCCAAACGGGCACTTAAACACTGTTTGCTCTAGAGAGAGTACTGGTAAGTTCGGGGTGAAGACTTAAATGGTTGTATTTGTTACAGTGCAATGGGGTAAAACATGGTGGCAAAGTTGAAATAATTCAGGGAATGCCATCTCTTCATTGTTTTCAAGCATTGGTGGGTAAAAGACCTGTGAATTGTGATGAGAAAAGCATTATTCAATCCAAACAGGCAAAACTTTTCAGTCAGCTACTTGGGCTGCCGGAGCACCACGGCACTATTCGATATGGCATGCCGTGGAGTCACTCAATGGTCAAGGATCTATAATTGTCGCTGTTCGGGAGGGCAAGCCTCTGACACTCGCATCTCTCCTCTCGAAACCTTTAAAAATATAAAGAAATCACGGCACGGGAATCGGAGGATCCCCCTGCGCTTGCACCCCTTAAGTCGTCCTAGCATATCTAATAATTCAAAGTTTCATCTGGGGTCCTCGCATGATTTCAAAATCTTGGCCATCAACATTGACCAAATTATCTCCCATTCTCAAAAAAGACACGAAAAAAAGAAGCTTTAATCACGTGTTAGAAAACTTTAGTGATGAAGTCGTCAATTTTTTCGGCTTTCTGGTTGTTCTGGGCTTGTGGAGTGATGGTCTGGGCTGGTTCTAGCTTGGTCTGGAAAATTATAAGGACTAGCTTGGTCTGACTCTGGCTTTATATGGTTGTGAAAAAAATAATATATGCATATTCTAATATTAACATAATTACACATGCATATATACAAAACATCTATAATTTTTGCATTGTATATATGTTATTATTATTTTTAAATTAACAAATAAATAATATTTGGATAATGAATAATGAATATCTAATTTTTTTATTTGATTGGCGATGAATATATTAGAAATTTTGAAGAAGAACGTTGAAATGGCAGAAAATAACCTGGCTAGAGATGGCATAACAAAAAAGAAAATTACAACGCGATCCTTCTAGTTAATTGAAATTACTCGGTTTTAAAACTATACATTACTTCTTTTTTTTTAATGAAAAACAGAATAATAATAATAAAAGACGTAGGGAAGATGATGAGGTTTGATTAGAGAAGAATGAAAGAGGATGACTGTGAACATGAGATAAGAAACTATGTAACTATTTATGATACTATATGGTCTAGTAAAATAATTTCAATAAACTTCAGGGACTAAGTTTATAATTAACCTATTTAAATTCCTCAGTAAGTCCCCAAACCTCACACGTGTATGCTTGTTAGATTTCTTGGGTTATGCAGGTGGCAACTAGGTGTTATATCTTCACGATCTCCCTTCTGGCCCTGTCTTCGTTTCTTTTGTTAACTGAGAGAGAGCTGTGTAGCAGTCGTTGAAATGTTTTCCTTGGCCTTTTTCGCTACACTTGAAAATTGGTAACGTGTTTCCTTTATCTGCATGTTAGGGTGTAGGATTGAAATTAGATGATGCTCTTGCATTCTGGAAAGCAGAGTTCTCCCAAAAGGTTAGTAGCTCTGTATAATCTACACGATTGTGGTGTTAATTTAACTACCAAATTCTTTATAGATGTTGCTGTTTGTATATTTCACTGTGCATGTTAGGAAATTGCGTTTTATGATGAATTAGCAGAAGGAGGGCAGATGCCCAGTAATCTATCTCCATAACTAGCATTTTACATGAACATGCAATTTCAAGGTGCCATATGAAAAATATGATCTCTGGGTGCATGGAAGTCAAATGCTAATCAATAATGTTCCTCATCTTTATATCTTTTTCCCCTTTCTGTAGGTCGGAGCTGAGAGGTTTGACAAAGAATATGCATAAAGCATTCGCCACAATTACGGGAGAATGAAAGAGAACAGTAAGATGTCTAGCCCATCACCATCATCTAGATGCGTCGTCATTGTCATGCTAGACTGGCTAGATTGAGACCATGCATCAGAATACAAAGAAGAAGAATTATGAAACGATTGTGATTTGGAAATTTAGTAGCTTAAGAATTTCAATTTCGTGATTGATATAATTCTTGGTGAATTGACTTTTTGTCTCTTTAGTTCTTTTGGAACTTGGCCTTTATTCCTCTGCATGCACTCTTTTTATGTTCATTTGTTGGTGCATCATGACCGTCTAAAAAAGTGCAATCTTTTGTTTATGCAGGATTCCACTCCTCATTCTTGTCAAGAAATAATCTCATCAACTCCTGGTGTCGGAGATCATCATGGTTGTCCCTATCGACATTTTAGGTCATTTTCCTTACTATTGTGGTGTTTATGATGACATGAAACTGGGATTGTGTGTGTGTGTGTGTATCCTGATTAACTCCTCTTGGGCTGGAATGGCTGATTCAATGGAATTTAGTATTTTTGTTCCATCTGATTAACTTTGCCATCAAACTAGAAAATAACTAAAATTTGGTATTTCATCAAACACTTTATCTGCAATTTTAATTTCGGTATACATTTTTTTTTAATGATTGAAAGATTTTGGACATGAATTTGGGTTGGGGGTGGGGGGGATCAAACTAGAAAATAACTAAAATTTGGTATTTCATCAAACACTTTATCTGCAATTTTAATTTCGGTATACATATTTTTTTATGATTGAAAGAATTTGGACATGAATTTGGGGGGGATTATCAAGCAAGAATTTAAAATTCAAAGAAATGCCAGAGTACAAAACAATCACTTAATACCAGTCCATCTACGTTGCAAAACACCGTGATATATATACATGTCCTTCACAAGTCTGGGCATGAACTAATGGGAGGACATGGTTGTGTTTCATGTCATTTGCAAGACGACTCTGGACAGAGATATCAAGCGGCGTGCAACTGGCGACTCTTGATCTTCACTTGGAATTTTGAACCTGATGGAGGAACTTATGTGGGGTTTTACACCTAAGAGTAGTTCTTGAGCTCAAAACCACAATGATCAAATATACTCAGCCCGATGAAAGATTTTGAGCTGAATACCAAGACATTAAAAAATGAAGGATCGTCTCATAGAGCCAAACTGGCAAATAAGCATCAAGTGATCTTTTCATAACCATGAATAAATTCAAACTGTGGGTCTGGACCTTGTACTCTGACACCGTTACTTTAAGCTTATCGTATTACAAAAACACATTCAGGGATTCACAAAATGATGAGTTTAACTTTTATGGTAGCCATTAATCAAAGGAAGGGAAAAAAGTAGTCTTCTTAACAAATAATCATTTAAGAAGGGAACGAATTGGACAAAAGAGAAGAAGATATAGACGTTCCCTGTAGCAACAACCGCTGCTTGTTTTTGCTGCACAAGTGGAAGGAAGGAAGTAATGTTTGACATGATATTGGTACGTTTCAACTCCATCTCTGCGACACACGAACCTCCTTTCCCCATACTGGTTTTTCCAAATAAGATTGGTTTACTGAATCTGTTATCATGAGATTCTGTGGCCCTATCAACATCATTTGCTTCCAGTGCTTTGATTTTCTTTGTTAATGATGTTTTAAAATCTAAAGTGCTTAGTAACAGTATTTTTAGCTGTTAGATTATGAGTTAATTAAATATTCTAGATGGATAGTCTATTCTTTTTTTCTTTTTAGATTAATACGGTTGTTCGGACCAATTTGCATGTATCTCGATTAATCTCACGGATTCTAAAATTAATAATCATATAAGCCTCCAGTGGTCCTGAAGTTTGTGAAACTCAAATTAGTGATTTTTATGAAGCAAACCCAAAACCTGACCAGTTGAATTACACCAATAGAGTTAACTCGAATATAGTCTATTCTTTATTGTTTATAAAACTTGTAGCTAGTTGTAGAAAGCTTATAAGCTTAAGCTTATAACGTGCAAAAACAATCGTTTTTTGCTAGTTTAATATATTATATGTCCAATCAATTGGTTGCACGTGATATTATTATATTTATGTAAATACATATTTATTATTAATAAAGATTTAATTTATCTTTAATATTCATATAATATTAGATTAATGAATCTAATATTTGATTAATAAATCTAATATTTGATTTATGAATCTAGAGTAAAGATGAAATCCATGAGACAAAAATACTTTGTAAAGAAAATTATAAAGTTGTTAAATTATAAGATTCTTATTGTATTAAAACATTATTTCAAAAATGTTTTTGGTTGATGCTCTTTTAAATACTATATATTTATTAGAGTCGTAGGGACTAGTGCATATTATATTCTTTCCTTTATAAAATAAAGCAGTTGTTCTTATAAGTTGAGGTATAAGAGATACATAAAACTAATATGTAGGTACTTGTCATAAGACATGTACACTAAATCGACCTGGATGAAAACTTCATATGGAGATATCACCCATATTTATAAAAAAGCTCATGTGATGATTGTATAAGTGATTGTTAGATTTGATATTATGCTTCAGTTTGTCCCCTCTATACATACCAGTGATGCTAAATTCCATGAGAAATCATTTAATATATCTAATTTTGTGAAAAATAATTGGTGAAACCCATTTTATCAAACTATATAATAGTGATCTTGAATTTTATAGAAATGAGTTTTTCCATTTTGGATCTAGATTTAGATAAAACTTGTGTGAGATTTTAGCATCAAGAAGAGATAATCATACTAAACCACAAAACCAGTGTGAGAAATTGATTATAGTCACTAATTTTTTTGTATTATATGGGTTAAGGAGGAGAGAAAATTGATTTTTTAGAAAAAATATTTTTATTTAATTAATGAAAGAGAAGTGATGTCATATTATTAAATCATAGCCCATAATGTATGGTATAACCGACACCTGAGCTATGAAAGGAACTTGATTTGTTGTTAACATAAGTTATAATCATGAATGTTTGACGAGATTTACAAGTATTAGCATTAATTGAATAGGATGACTAATGTAATCATGTTAACAATCTATAATCTGATTGGAACCTCCTTTGTGTGTGGTTTCCAATTGAATAATAAGAGTTTATACTATACTTGTTTGATATACCATTAGTGGAACCTTTAACCTTGATATTTGTTTTTATCATTGTTTAATCCTTACATTAATATTTCATCTCAAAGTTCTCATCTTTTTCTTCTTCTTTTTTTTTTTTATTACTACTACTACTACTACTACTTATTATTATTATTATTATTATTATTATTGCTACTAATATTATTGTTGTTATTGTTATTACTGTTGTTGTTATTTATAATTTGTACAATTAACCTCCCTATGGTTCGACTCCGGTCTTGCCGAGTTATTTATTACTTCAACACTCCTGCATTTGGGAGAAGACATCAATATTTTAGTCGTGTCACATATCCATGCCTAATTGGGCATAGCATGTAGCCGAACTCAATGTTGATGGATTAGAAAGGTAGCCAGACTCATGTTTAATTGGACTTGGCTGCGTGCCAAGCTTAAGGGCGATGGGTTTGGCAATTTGCTAGACCCATGTTTAATGGGGCTTGGCGCACAACTAAGTTCAAGGGCGCTGGATATAGCAACTCACTAGGCCCATAACTACTTAGGGTCGACACGGTGCCAAGTCCAAGGGTGATGGGTCTGGTAACTTATTAGATTTATGTCCGCTTGGATTCGACACATAGCTAATCTCAAAGGAGTTGGGTCTGGCAACTCGCCCGACTCACGCTTTAGTGAGCTTGACATGTAATCAAGCCTAAAGACGTTGAGAATGGAAGCTTGCTATACCTATGTTCACTTGAGCTCGGTTTATAACTACGCCTAAAGATATTGGACCTAAAAATGAGTTAAATCCATGTTATTTGGGTTTGATATTCTACCAAGCATTGTGATGTTAGGTATGGACTGAAGGCCGCACTCATCTATCAATAAGTTATTACCTTGACTTTGAACCTTCTAAATAAGGGTTTAGATTCAAGATTTATTTTTCATATAAGTGCCAAAACTATCGATTCATTGTTCGTCTTTGAATTACATTTCTTTTTATTACCTTTTTGGTTTTTATGCTTCAGTTTGTCCCTTTTATACGTACCAGTGATGCTAAATTCCATGAGAAATCATTTAATATATCTAATTTTGTGAAAAATAATTGGTGAAACCCATTTTATCAAACTATATAATAGTGATCTTGAATTTTATAGAAATGAGTTTTTCCATTTTGGATCTAGATTTAGATAAAACTTGTGTGAGATTTTAGCATCAGGAAGAGATAATCATACTAAACCACAAAGCCAGTGTGAGAAATTGATTATAGTCATTAATTTTTTTGTATTATTTGGGTTAAGGAGGAAAGAAAAATTGATTTTTTAGAAAAAAATATTTTTATTTAATTAATGAAAGAGAAGTGATGTCGTATTATTAGATTTGATTTTTTTGTTGTTGAAATAAGATACAAGCTATAAAATTTTAAAACTTAATAAATAAATACAATTTTGATAATACTATAAAATGTAAAATGTTAGAAGTAATTTTTTATAGATTTAATTATTTAATAAAAATATTTATTTTGAATTAAACAAGATACAAGTGATGCAAGGATGTGAGGCTTCTGACGTCTCCTAGCCCATATGAGAGAATTGGATTTTTACAATCACTAAACAATACTAATATGCTTTTTTAAACTGTTCTACTTCAAGATGATAGATAGCTTAACTCTATTTTTTTTTTAAAAAAAAAACAACCAAATGAAAGTGAAAAACTGTCGGCATAAAAAGAGTGATTGAATTGTAAATGTCTTGTCTAATTAATTAATTCCTCCCTCTTTTGCGAGGGGTGTTTTGTAGGGTCGTAGCGCCATGATGGCTCGTTCTATATACCTAACCAAGCTTTTTTTATTTAAATATCAGGGTTCCGCGGCTAGCAGGCAATAGCCACATGTGATTCACTACAGGGTCAGATAATTTTTTTACATGAAAATAATGGCTAGACAATATAACCTTGTTTTAGAGAAAAAAAAATCATCATTTTAACTTGAACTTGAGATTTTTTTTTAAAATAAATAATATAATATAATTTTTTATTTATTAAATATAAAATGATAAAATTAAATAAAAAATAATCTAAAAAATATCACAAGTCAACTCGAGTTAGAATAAAAAACTTGTAATCTTGATAATTAGAATTGAGTCGGCCCTAGTTTATCCTGTCAAACTCGTTGTCCAAATCATGATATTGGATGATTGGATTGAGAAAAAAAAATTCACAAAGTCTTTTTTTTAAAGAACCAATGTTAAACGATGATGACAAAAGACAAATAAGTAAAAAATAATATAAACATGAGTTAATTTTTCAAACTTATAACCTAGGTCATCATATTAGAAACGCTTTATCTGGAAAAATCATGAAGTTCAACTTTCAGTCAATAAAATATTAAATCATAAAATTGAATTTTTTTAATTATACAAAATAATTCAAAACAAAAAATGACAATTAAAAGAATAATGATCCAAATTGAATTTTTTTATTTTTGATTGAATGAAAAAATTAAAAAAAAAATTAATTTCACAAAAGGATGTCAAAAAATTAAAAGAATCAAAAGAATGAAGATCAAAACAAAAATAAAAAATAAAAATAATTTTTTAATTGAATGGTGAAATTGAAATGAAAAATTACTTTACCAAAAGAAAAAAAATAATAAAAAAATAAAGATCAAATTAAAAAAAATCATATATCTTTAATTAAGATTGAATGATAAAATTAAAAATAAATTAAAATTTTATAATAGGATAAAGAATAAAAATTAAAGAGCAAAAAGGATCAAAGTAAAAATTCCTATAAATTAGAGGATAACTTTAGAAATTTGCATGGATTGCAATAGTTTTGATGGGAGAAGGGAGAAAAAAAGAGGAAAAAAAAGTGTTGTTCATTACAAATTGTGATAACACATGCACCTAAGATGATAAAAGGATTTTGATTTATAGCAGAAACGTAAGTGCTAATAATTTTTTTTATTTTAAATAATCAAATACTAGATTACCTCTTACTTGTAACAAATATGTAATCATATGCTCCTGGCAGGAAAACAGAATTCTTAAAAAAAAAAAATATCATAAGTGTAACAAAAATTATCATCTTAACCTTACATCACATTATAAAATTGTAATTATTAAATGGATAAAATTTAAATCTTATCAAACTTGAAATTTATATCAACTATGATAATATTGTTTTAGTTATTCATTTAAAAAATAAAATAAAAGTTAATTAACCTAATGACTTGAGTTCTTTAGCAGAATGAATCTTAGATCATGCTTCACAACTATGATTAAAATGATCATAAATAAATTATGTTTTTGTGTTTTTTCTTAATGTGTTTTAAAAGAAAAAATATATTGTAATATTTTTTTCAAGATAATAACATATTAAGTGATGCATAGGATTTACATATTGGTTGACAATTGACCGGTCAATATGTTCATTATCACTTCAACATCTTAATTTAATGTTCTCAAGATTATAGCTGAATAGTTAAAGCTTGAGTTTCAACTTGGAGTTCTTGTATTTATAAAAGGATTTGAAATTAAACTTGGGGGATGGGATTTAATTAGTTGGTGTTTATATTGGATATCTTTCCTTGCGTACTAGGCTAAAGTGTCTAAACATGAATGTATTCATTATCTCTAAGCTTGATATGTTCTACAAAACTAGTTTCTTATAAGAATAAATTATCTTTTAATGTTTTAATTAGTAAATTGTATGATAGATTACCCTTTTCTTGCATGGACATGTGGTTATATAATCTTTTTAATGAAATTTTGCGTTTATCTAGTAATATGAAGTATTTATACCCCACAGTTACATGACATTATCTCTCAAGAATGAAGTAATAATAAAAAATAATTGAATTTCTTTACATGTAACCTGAAAAAAAGTTGGAGAAGATAGCCATTGACAGAAAATGAATGGCCTTTAAGGAGATGAGCTAAAAAATAGCTATTAATAAGAAGAATAACATCACATTAGTAACTCATGCGTAAGCATGGAAGGGAGATAGTATCTCTACTTTATGGAGTGTACTAATTGCTAGACTTCTTGAGAATTTACACGAGATTAGACGAGGCCTGGTTTGTTGTTTAGGGCCTCGAAGAACACTAACAGGAGGAATGGTAATACAGCATGGCTCAAATGGTAGGAATGCCATTCTTTGTTGTTTGGGCATGGCACAAATGGCAGTCCATTATCCCCTTTTTTATTTTTTATTTTCTATTTGTTGTATCACCAGGGACGACGAGATTCCAAGATTAAAAGAAAACTATTCCTTGTATATTTTAAAATTAATTGAAACTTTCAATGAAAGGATAATAAAATTAAAAATACAATAAAATAAACACACTAACGTGACCCGTGAGACACAATGGAAGTGAGTAGTAGAAGCCCCACATATCCTGGCGTGCCCGCAATCGCTGCCAACATTTTTTTTCATGTTCTTTATAAGGTGGTGAAGGATACAAGATAAAAGAATTTAATGTAATGTTTTGTAACCACTTCGCTATACATAAATATTTAATTAATTGGACCCACAACTCCGCGATGAGCAGTGTAGAATTAAATGCAACCATAGTTTAAAAACTTTACTAGTGAGCAATTACACAGCAAATCATTAATTGCACACTACAATGGTGTATGGACTCTAAAAGCTTTTGTATTAAATTAGTGTTATTCAGCACAATTATTAAATTCTATCTATATTTTTTGATAAATCCATGATATAAAATATGAATCAGTAGGTTTTATATAAATTAATTTTGATATTGACCAATTAAAATAACTTTAATAGATTGACCCTCAACTTAGTTGACCATACTATAGTCAACAAAATCGGGACTAAGAATTATTTAAAAAAAATTAAAATATCATTATTTTTAATAAAATAATAAATTTAAGTTAACTCCATAACCCACAAATCAATCCAACAATAAAGATTTTTTTTCGAGTAGAATCCTAAATCAAGACTAAGAATTATGTAAATAACAATTGCTATTGAAAGTTGAGTCTAGTTAATTATTGATGTTATTCATTGCCGGACATTTCAGTTAATAACTAATTAATTTAGAATTTAAACTAATTTAATTGAAAAAAATGATTTATTTAATTAGAAAAAGCTGAGACAGATTTCGTTGTAACTCTGTTTAAGTTCCTGTATATTTTTACATTTTAAAAATTTAAAAATATTTTATTTTTTATTTTAAATTAATATTTTTTAGTTTTTTATAAAAAAATTAATGCATTAATATCAAAAATAATTTTTTTAAATAAAAAAATTATTTTAATACATTTATAAGTAAAAAATATTTTTAAAAACAACTACAATTACATTCCCTAACAAGTTTTAATCTTAATCAATTGTCATTATTAATTATTTTGCTGGTACTAAACTATATTTTTAGTTATGATTTAACAAAATATATTAAAATGATATATACATTTTTTAAAAATTTATTTTCATCAATAATAATAACAGATCAATATATATATATATATATATATATATATATATATATATATAATTAAAAAAATAAATCAAAATCCGATTGCCCCGCTGCTGTTCTGTATTCACCACTTTTTGGAAGTCCAAAAACTTGCAAGCAAACCTCTACTCTACAAGACTACTACCAAGCGCAAAAAATGCTAGACACGAAAAACACTATTCTCTAATACTATTTAAGATTTGCATGGATTGCCTTGAGGCGTATCAATTTGGACTTGAAAAGAGAGACTAGTAGACTAGATGGAAGGTCTATCTCTACAATGATCAATGGCCTCTGTATATGTCCTCCTATTTTTCCAATTAATTAATGATTCATTCTTGCCTGCAAATAATGATCTCTTGCGTTTTTTTATTTTTTTTATTTTTATATGGAGAAATTATTCCTTGCACTTCAATGCAAGCCATGGAAATTGTTGTGGATTAATTTGTACCCAACAGTACATCTTGCACCAGTGAATCTTGTAGTATAAATCCACGTCCACAAGCAAAAAATTTCAAGCTTTGCACAGTACTCCACCATGCAAGCCATTGAAAGACTCGAAGGATAAAACCATTTTTGTTAAAACCCAAAACACACACGCACAGTCACACACAGAGTCACAAACACAGAGACAGAGAAAGAGGGAGAAGGAGAGGGAGGGGAAAGTAGTAGTAAATACTGTCAGTTTCTATATTCATCATCACCGTCTTCTCGAGAGTACTCATCGGCAATAATCATCTTCAAAGAATGTGCCTTGATTATATAGCCAGTCATAGCTACCATTCTTGCACATGCATTAACATTCGCCCATGAACAAGAAACTACTAGATACAACTGTAGTAACCCAAGATAAGAACAAAAAGCACAACCACATATAATATATAGCAAAATACCTTACTGCTTACTGAGCAGCACTAAATCACCATAGATGGAGGAGCACTAGCAGCACTCTTGTTGCCACCACGATGACCATCAGACCCCATTCCCAATTTCAAGTCGAGCTCCACATTGCCACTGGCACTAGTTCCTTTCCCTTCAAAATCACTGAACAAATGTGCCACAGAAGTGACAACTGCACACTTCCTACCACCATTACCAACCATTTTGCTGCTGTGGTTATTAACGTTAGTCCTCTTCCTCGCTTCTGTGTTATTAGAGATTGAAACTGAGCATGCACTTGGTGGAGAAGAGGAAGAAGAAGATACAGGAGGCAAAACAGGAGGGATTTCAAAGTTAGTTCTTGCTTTTGCACCTCTAAGTCTTCTAGCAGCTGAGTCATATGCACGCGCTGCCTCCTCTGCGGTGTCGAATGTTCCAAGCCAGTGGCGGCACCGCCCTATACGGTCTCTTATCTCAGCTGACCACCTCCCCCATGGCCTCTTTCTCACCCCTCTGTAGGTCTTTCGTATTGGAACGCCATTACTAATACTGCTTCTCACAGCGCCACTTTCTTGCTTGCTTGTTTTTGACCCGGTACGTTGAGAAATTGAAGAAAGACACGATACTTCTGAATTCCTGGAATCATTCGTACCAAAAAGGACTTGTTGACCAACAATAGCACCGATTCCATCAAGGATCGGTGGTGTGTCTGGCGATTTCTTGAAACTATCGGAGAGTGAAACAGAAGCCGAGATATCGGGTGAAACAGGAGGGTAATTTGTGGGGTTGTAGTGGTCAAAGGTAAAAGGTGAAGAAAATGAATTTTGGGGTTCTAAGAAAGAGCCACGAAACGATGGATTTTCAGTGAGGAGCCGAAACATTTGATATGTTTCGGGCTGAGGGAAGAACGGAACTGGGATCAATTTCTGGTGGTTCATCGTGGGGTTTAGCTGATTTGATGAAGCATAACAAGTCATTTGTTAGTGTGAAACGAACCTCCTAGGGTTTATATATACGAGGTAGAATAATTATTTATTGAAGAAATTGCATATTTAAATAAAATCACTAATATTATTTAATAAGTTTTTTTAAAATAGATATGGCTGTCAAATTTGATGAGACAGTAACCCCTCAACTTGACATGCTTGTCTTCCCTGGGCAGCGGGGATATCCTCATTTAAATCAATTCTAATGACAGAAATAACCCTACAGTTTGTAGAAGCTATCTATAAATTATAGGTACATTTTTTAGGAAATAAAATACCGTTTTATTTATTTATTTTTTAGACTTTTACAAACTGAATGCATGGTTAGTGAGCGCGGCCCCTCCGGATCTGACTTAAATCCCGGCCGATTCATCTCTACCGTGTCAAGTGTTAAAAAAAAAAGACTTTTGTTTCAACCAGTCAACTTTATAAAAATCTAAATTGATTTTTTAATTTTTTTTAATTAGTCTAAATCAATTTAGATTAATTTATCTGACTTGCATTTTATATCAAATTAATTTTGAATTAAATTTAATAAGTATAAGCACATGCTATAATTCTATCTTTTAAAGATATTTGATAACTCATTATCATTCATTCCAACTATAAAAAAAAAACATTATCATGACATATACAATATCAAACCGGGAATAGCTTTTAAATTAAAAAAGTTTTGAATGTATTGAAATTAATTATACAAATATAATTAATAGAGTTTAAGAGTTATTATCTACTAGTACTATAGTTAATTAAAAATCTAATAATATAGTTATTATAATAAATAGAATGACATGTATGATGATCATGTAAGATTTACACTATATCAAAATTTAAATAACATACACACATTTGTATCATCATAATTAGTCATCAATGATTGTTAATTTAATCCAATAATATCCTAGTTACTTAACAAAATAAAGTGTCTAAAACTATAATCCATAAAATTGATATTATAATATAATAGTTTATATTTCTCTATTTATACACAAAATTAATAAACTATTAATTACCCATGGTGAGTCTGTGAGGTAACTATATAAAAAATTGATAATATTTATTAAGTCTCAAGATAAATAGTTTGTTTAAAACTTTAAGAAAATATCTAAAATTTTCATCTAGACAATATTTAAAACCATTTTATATAATAATTCCAAAATTCTTTTTATATAAATTTATTGAGCCTAAAACAAATCTTACAATATTCATAATATTCATAACGTAATCTTAATTGCCAATCAATATGATGTTTTCATATAGAAAGCAATCATCCAATATTCCTTCACGAATACCAGTCAACTCGACAAATCCATTGTGGTTGCCAATCAATCTGGCATTTTCATATAAAAGCTAATGATACGGTGTTTCTTCATGAATATCAATTATTCCTCTTAACTTACATATGACTCTCTCTCTCTCTATATATATATAAAATAAGTAAAATTTATGGGAAATTTGTAAAGAAAACTACCATAAGGTACAAAGTACCCATTCAGAATCTGACTATAAGTAACTTCATCAACTCTCTCCATCACCTTAATAGTCTCTCCTGCATCGACATGTTTTTCAATTAAGTATTATTATCATATAATGAAATACTTCTTATTCATTATAATATTTATTATGATTATATTTAATTTTTTTTATTAATGCGTTCTAATCATTAATTACACAAGAAAATCAACTTGCAAATAAATTCATGATTCCTTCGGCTCTTATTAGTTTTATACAATTTCATACAATTTACAATTTCTATAACATTTTACAAACTTCATCCTTTTAGGCCCAACCAATTAATTATTCAATATTTCATCATTTCATTAATTCAAATCAATGAAAAAAAATTATTCACATGATCATACACATATTATAATAAACTTAATAGATAATATCATAAATGTGAAACTTCTGCCTTTTGTTCTCTTAATGGCCAGGACCTAGGACTTCCTTTCCTATCAAAAGTTCTTTGTTATTTCAATATGATTGCACCCTATAAATATCATAGAAATTCAATCTTTATGAAAACTACTTTTCCCCTAATTTCATCTTAAGAACCCTAATTCAATTTCGATTAATTATGTTTAAAATTGCTTAACTTTTATTCAAATTGGTATAAAGAGATTTCAAACATCTTACCTAGTTATAAGATATATTTTAAAAATCAGCCAATTAAAATTTTTCAAGGCTTCTTATTTTTTCCTCTTCTTTCTTCACTTTCTCTCTAACTCAATTTTTTTCTTTCTCTTTGATCTTTCTTAATTTCTAATATGAATGTGTTTTTCTCTTTTTTAAACCCTATCTTTTAACTTTTAAACGTTACTTCTTAGTCCTTCAAGGTGAAAGGAAGGAAAAAGAATTGAAAATGCTCTTTTCTCCCTTACTGGACACCGTTGGGTTATAATAAGGACAATAATCTTTTTTAAAATAGCTAGATCATTTTTGATTATGAAAAAAAAATACAATTTTCACCTAAAAACTTATCTTTTGACCTTTTTTTTTAAAACTCTTTTGACCTAATTTATTTTATTCATTTACTTATTTTATTAAATTACATTATAATTTCTATTATATTATTACTTTTAATCTATCTAGGGTTTATAAAAGGACAAAAATTAACTAAATCAAGAGTCAAATTAAGACAAATTAAAAGTTTAATAGTCAATTAAGAATCAAATTGCATAATTGATTAGTACTTAAAAGTATATTTTTATTAATGTTTTATATCATCATTTTGCACTTGAAGTATCAATAACTGCTTAACTAAAGCATGTTTTATAACAATAAGTCTGATACTATAAGATACCTTTAATTTATGGTAAATATTTATCTTAAATGCAGACCTATCTCATAAATCAAATGATTGATTGATGAGTTTAATTATTAAAAATGAAAAGATAAATAGATGGTTAAACTTAGAAAAGATATGCTAATTCAGTTCAAATTGAAACACTATTCAGTCATTGAGTCATATTTAGAACTGCAGATCTTAGATTTCAATTTGGTTTATATAGATAGAAAGTTAAGACATAGCCTAAAACATTTATGGGAATATAAGACTCAATTATGTTGTTTGGAAGTCTAAATCTTAGCAATAATGGAGAAGTTGGAATCTATCATGCAGCTCAGACACTGTTAAGTGTTTAACCTAAATCTCAAGTTCTAGAAGTCTAAATATACCAAATTGTTTTTTGTTGGAAAGATGAGATAATTTTCTAGAATTTTCTTGTAGACAATCTGTTTAAATTCTGACATTATCAATGACATTTTGTTCAGACAAGAAGATAAGGATTGTTAATAAGTTAAGATGTGGCTACCCATTCAAAAATTGATCATCAAAACAATAGTTTTAAATTTTGATCTATAAAAGGAGGGATTTGTCATGCATTTAGACATCTTGGTTTTAATAACAAGATTATGTTCTTACTTTATTTATTTATATTTTTGTAATGCTTAAGTTTTGCTATCATTAATATCTTGTTTATGCCTTTCATTTCCTTTCCTTGACTTAGTTCATGACACGACGAAAAGATTGTTGTCTTCTCCCAAGTGCAGGAGTGTCGAAATAATAAATAACCCGGCAAGACCAGGGTCGAACCACATGGAGGTTAATTGTACAAATTATAAACGACAATAGTACAACAACAATAATAATAAAAACAACAACAATAATAATAGTAATAACAATAATAACAACAATGACAATAACAATAATAATAATAATAATAATAATAATAATAAT